CAGTATTTTGCTCCCTCACCCACTTTCTTCATCCTTCCATCCTCTTTGTGCTGTAACTTAAAATAATTTATTGCGAAATTCTGGCATACTTTAACAGCCCATCCCATCAACACTGCAATTTTGCTGTTGCCGTCGAAGGGGTAAAACTACGTTACAAGGTGTTGTAGTCGTGGTTTAATAGGATATATTGGTTCCAATAATGAAAAACGGAACAAAAGCAATACCAGAATTTACGAGCATTTTAGAGGGACAGGAAACAGGAGGCCAAACGGATTAAATGAAATAGAAAACCAGTATTTTTTAAGCAGTTTTAATTCAAGAAGGGCGTTGTGATTTTTGGTCGACTTTCTGTCAACTGATCTTTGAACAAGCAAATTGCATCTCATGCAGTCAGAAACCCTCCAGTTGAATACCAGCCATTGGCGACCACCTAGTCTAATCATTATTCGCTTTTATTTCCCTACCCATTAGTAATTTTTTACATGGTGTATGATTTATGGACTACAGAAAAATAAGTGGTTTTTTTCTTTTTAAGGTAAGTACATAGGAAATTAGGACTTGGACAGAGAATAGTAAAAAAGGAAGCTGTAATAGTTGTGTATCAATTGTAATCTGTTGTTACCTAGTGGACTGATCATTAGAGTCGGGATCGGTGTTGAACTTTAGTTTGCCCAACATTATTGTTCTTCATGACGGCGGATTGATACGTTTGTTTTATATGTTGTTGCTGTTTTTTGTTTTCTAACGAAAAAAAATTTTTTTACTTTTGTTTTTTCTAGATACTGTCAATTAGAACTGGGAAAAAAAAGGTTGATGTGAATTAAGGAAATTAGAAAAGCATAGCGTAAAGGAACTGTTTTTATTATTTATTTCTTTTTTCTTTTTTTTCTCGCAATTTCAATGAGACAAATACAGACGGAAGAAGATGGTTTAAAAGTAAATGAGATGGACCGGACAAGACAGGAGAATAATCTTCAAAGTAGTAGTAAAGACTTTCTGTGTGAAATGGAACTATTGCACAGCAAATCCACAGTTAGAAAACCTGATACTCAAAAGAAACAAATTTTTTTTAAATCACCAAAATTTATAGCTTTTTTGTTGCTTCAAGTTTTTTACTGCAATTAATATATCGGAAAAGTATGTTTTTTCACAGATACAGTCAGCTGAAATTTACAAACATAAAAAAAAACACTGTATGCTTGTTCTATTGCCTGAATCTTCATGTATGTATGAATTCAGATAACATAAACATACGGTTCACGCTCTCATTCACACACATCCACAAGGTTAACATGGAATAATACACATAAAAACGCACGCACACAAACACACACAAACACACCACACACACACACACACACACACACACACACACACACACAAATGCGCTCACATGAAGGCAGTTTTACACACGGAAACACAGACCCAAAGTTACAGAGATAGATACATATCCGGTGAAACATTATTCATCATCTACCGGCGTTATAGATTACTGAGTTTTTTTGGCCGCAGCGGCTGCAGCTTTTTTCGGAACCTTTCTGGCCCGAAGCCCAGCATGATGGCATTGCATTATTTGATCCCATTTTGCCAAACAAATAACGTAATCCTTTCTCAACGATTTGATTCCCCATGTTTGGCGAGGATTTGCCTAGAAGAGCAAGGATTGGAATAAAATGAACGCAACAAATTGCAATATATATTTTTACTGATTTTTTTCATTATTTTAAGAAGAGAAAAACATAAAACTCTTTGAAAATACTACTGTTTTACGGAAATAACAAAATGAGTAATAAAATTTTTCTGTTATTATTTCCGTTCTTTTTTTATCAATTAAATTTCAAGATACGGTCATTACAGTGACACAACTGTTTAGAAACCGCTACAGCACTATCGGTAAACAAATTTAAGTGTAAAAAATTAGTTCAACCGATCAAAAACTTTTTGTTTGATACCTGAGGTTGACACATTTGTAGGCACTGTGGTCCCAGATCATGTACACCCATATCTTCACAACATTCTGTGTTATCGTGTGTTTGTGCAGCACAATGCACAATTGAACTGAGATACTTGTAAAGTCGGCATCGTGACGGTTGAATGGTATGCATCAGCTGTAAATTAACATCAAATGTTTCTTCGATGATGGTTTTCTTGCTGTTAACGTTAAATTACTTGTACACGTATGTAATTTGTTCGATATAGCAAACCATTCATCTGACTTATGCGGCACATAGAATATTCAGAAAAAAATTGAAATAAAAAGTGAAGGAACGTCTAAAAATCTGACTTAGTTGTCTTAAGTTATAGAAACCACGCAAATGTTTCTTGGTTCAAAAGCAGTGAGGATTAGAAAGAAAAAACTGAAAGAATATTATAATAGATTACCACAATTCGTGCTTCGATTGCATTACTTTCATAAATGCATAGTCCTCGGCATTCCGGTGGCACAAAACGTTCACAGCACGAAGCAAAAACTTGATCAGCAATTTTGCGTTCGATGCACGGCTTCCAATCAGTCTGCTGGTTACCGCAATCCTAAAAGTTCTGAAAGTTTTTTCCACGCCTTTTTTCTGTAATTTTCTTCTTACTTCTCAACTGCACTTCTTTCTGTTACTGTTCTGATATGTAAAGATTCAAAATAATTGAAAAACGAAAACTTGTTTGATTGTAATTGTTTACCTTTTTTGAACTGACAAGGAAAAAAAACAGAAATAATGCATAATGACAATTGTATCATTTGTTCATTAAATATTCTTTTCAATTTCACTTTAAAATTTCACTATAAATGATAGTACATAGTTGAATCGCATTTGCAAACCTTCTCCTGTCCCTAACCATTTCCCTTCTACCAATTTCCCCAAATTTCTTTTTCAAGACTCTCCTTTTTTTCTAAATTGGTATAACTAACATTACTGCTGTGATATTATTGATAAAAAGATCCTTAAAAAAATGTATTTCTTTCTTGTTACTGTTGATAACCATTATAACAGCAAAAGGTGAAAAAAACAGCTCAAACACGGCAACGGTAGTGCTCTTCCCGATAATGTAACAGATAAATATTTTTTCGGTCTAAAAATCGATTTTTCTTGTTTTTTCTTTCCATAAGGAAAGTTTAAGATCAAATGCAAAGTCTTTTTTTTTTTTGTCGCAGATTATACCGTTGGATTTTCGAATTCGGTCACTTCGTTTTGCGCGTTAACAATTGAAGTTTTTAAAAATACCAACAGCAGAAGCAGTAGCATAGACATCTCTGAAAATAGAAGAATATATTTTCTGTTTATTTATTATCATCACTGTCTTCTTCCTCTTTTTTTTGAACGAAATTGAACATTTGAACATTATTGTTAATTTTATGAAATTGTCAGAATTAGCCACTCATTCCTCCTATACTTCTACATCTCTTATTTTCCTCCTTATTTTTTATGTTTCATTTATTTTTGCCACTGTACTCTTACTGGTGCAGGATGAAAGTATTTGAAATGATGGAATTTTCTAACACAATTTCCTGCAATTTACATCGATTTTACATACACTGTTTTTAATGGTCTATT